TATCAAACTCTTGTAACTTCAGGCTCCACCGTGCTAATCGGCCTGTTGGATCTCTTAAATTAGTCAACCAACAGAGGGAATGATGGTCACTTATAATTTTGAAAGGGCGGCCATACAAGTACGGGCGAAATTTTGTAACTGCCCAGACCACGGCGAGGCATTCTTTCTCAGTTGTTGAATAATTGGCCTCAGCGTGTGTTAGCGTCCTGCTTGCGTAGGCGATCACTCGTTCCGTGTCTTCTTGCCACTGCACAAGCACAGCTCCGAGGCCTACATTGCTTGCGTCAGTGTGAAGCATTGTTGGCGCTTGTTCGTCGAAGTGAGCAAGCACTGGGGGCGTTTGAAGACGTTGGCGGAGGTCATTAAACGCTGCTTGCTGTTCGTGATTCCACTCAAAGGTGGCGTCGTCTCTAGTGAGGCGAGTTAACGGCGACGCAATCCGTGCAAAGTCGGCGATGAATCGGCGATAGTAAGCGCATAGGCCCAGAAAGTGCCTGACAGCTTTCTTATCGGACGGTACTGGGAACTGTGCCACAGCCGCAAGTTTTTCGGGATCAGGCCGAACGCCGGTACAGCTGACGACATGACCAAGAAACAGCAGTTCTTCAAAACAAAAGTGGCATTTCTCTGGTTTCAATGTGAGGCCTGCGGAGCGTATGGCTTGTAAAACAACTTCTACCCTCTTGAGATGCTCTTCAAAAGTTGGGGAAAACACTATGACGTCGTCTAGATAAACTAAACAGGTCTTCCATTTTAACCCTGGAAGTACAGTGTCCATGAGCCTTTGAAATGTAGCGGGCGCTGAGCACAGACCGAAGGGTAGAACTTTAAATTCATATAAACCATCCGGCGTCACAAAAGCGGTTTTTTCCCGATCTCTTGGGTCTACCTCGATCTGCCAATATCCACTTCTGAGGTCCATTGAAGAAAAGTAGCGAGCGTTTCGAAGCCTATCGAGGGATCCATCAATACGTGGAAGCGGATACACATCTTTCTTAGTCACATGATTCAGCTTCCTGTAATCCACGCGAAAACGCAGGGTACCGTCCTTTTTCTTAACTAATACTACAGGCGATGCCCACGGGCTCTGTGATGGCTGAATCACATCATCTTCAAGCATTTTAGCGACTTGTTGCTGTATCAATTCCCGTTCCTTTGGAGCCACACGATAAGGATTCTGGTGTATAGGCCTTGCTGCGTCGTGGGTAATTATTCGATGCTTTGTTAGCGGCGTTCGACCGACCCGTGATGTCGATGAAAAACAGTCCTGGAATTCAGCTAGCAGCTCAAGAAGTCTAGTTCGTTCGACCCTTGACAACGTAGTACCAACGTCAAGATTAGGTAGTGATTCTTCTTGAGGTGCTTCGTCTAGGGCCGATAAACTGGCTTGGATTTCTGCAGTGGTGTCAAGGTAAGCGACGGCTGTACCCTTCGGGAGATGTCGGCGCTCAGTGCTGAAGTTAGTGAGCAGCAAGTTTGTGCGTCCGGCAGTGACAGTGACAAGACCTATAAACACGTGTCATATAAACACGTGTCAATATGCTGAGCACATCATGATTTTCTGGGATTCTCTGAAAGACACTATTCATTATGTATTGAATAGTTTGTCTCTTATAATATATGTCGCACTAACAAAAGCCTACCGTACGTGACAAGAGAAATCTTTTCATCTACACAGCAGGCTAAAACAAGCCAAGAAACATAAAAAAATACCCGTTAATGTTATATCTCAAATAAAAGTCAGCCTCGCTTCCAAATCCTCCGACACAAAAGTTAGGTATTCCACTCATTCATTGTCTGAATTGTCGACGAAAATTCTTGAAAAACTTTGACGATATTTTCAACAAACGGATGCTACACTCAGTTCCTTAACCGTTGATGGTTTCATTATAAATGATTCGTCGACTGTGATTCATAACCTAATTAGATACTTCGACTTCGTATTTTATACTCCCCAGCATAAATCACCACATCATAACCTTCTTCGTATTGTCTTTTGAGTGCATAACTTATGAGGGTATATTTTTTTGCTGCTTAAGTTGAACACTAAGTCGTCAGCTCCTTCAGATAATATCATTCACACCGGCCTGCTCAGGTATGCCGAACCCGCTGCGCACAATTTAACAAATGTTCCCCGCCTCTCCTTTGAAAACTCTCTCATTCTTCATGATTGCATTACACGTGCGTACGGTACGTCTAATTTCGGTGTTTAAGAAAGGGGATCGGCTCAACGTAGCAAACTGGAGGCCCATTCCCACAATGTGCATGTTGTCTAAGCTATTGGAACACATAGTCACACAATGCTTCACCACACTTCCTGAAAACAACTGCTTGCTATTGCCATCACAGCATATAGAAAAAAAATATGGTCAGCAACGCAGCTAGTCACAACTATTTATGAGTTCACGTCATCGCTTAATTTGGGGAATCAAATTACTGCTATTTTTTAGATTTCAGTAAAGCTTTTGGTCTTATCATGCATAGGAAACTCATTTATAAGTTGAATATTCTAAGCCTACCTGTTAATCTGTAGTGGATCAGTTCCTACCTTCCTAATCGCAAGCATTATGGAGAAGTAAATGACTACATGTCTGGTATTCTAGCAGTATCGTCTGGTGCCCCTGAGGGCACTGTTTTGGGAGCTGTTCCGTTTTTATTGTACATACAAAATAACATTGTTAAAACAATAGACACATTGCAGGTACACATAAAGCCTTTTGCAGATGCCTGCATCCTTTTTAATACAATTACTATTCCGGATGACCACAAATGCCTACATTCTAACCTGTATGCCATTTCTAAGCCGTGTGAAAAATGATCAAAGAAATTACATAGTGATAAGCCAGTTGTCATACCCAAAACAAATGAGAAACGCCAGATTATTTATATGTATCATCATATTAACTGTCACTTGGCTGAGGTTGAAGAATAAAAATACTTAGGTGAAACAACTTCAAACCGCTTTACATGGTGAAGTCAATTAATAAAATATGCTCATCTGCTTCTAGAAAACTTAGCTTTTATTGCAATAAACTATATGGACACTCTCGGCTAGACTTTGCCGCAGGCGTCGGCGTTGCAGTCATTCATTGTACATGTATACGTATCTATATGATATGACAGCGCAAGAAACAAAAATATTCCAGAAAAAGGCTTCGGCACACGGAATCGAACGTGGGACCTCTGAATAGCGAATGCAAGGCGTTAGTCACTGAGCCACGAAGGAGCACCTTTTTCAAGATTGAAACGGCAAGCTACTAGTGTGATAGAAATTATATGGACACTCTCGGCTGGATTTTGCCACCGGCGTCGATGTCGGCGTCACTCAGTGTATATGTATACGTATCTATTAGCCTAGTAAGCTTGGTAAATTTCGTCTGATGAAGATCGGTCTTTGATTAAAATGTCACAAATATACTGTTTTTAGAAGCGTATGTTTATTTTTTTCTATACGTATCTATAAATGCTCAAACGCAATAAAGAAAAAAAATAATCCAAAAAAAGACTCTGGTGCGCAGAATGAAACGTGAGACCTCTGAATCGTGAGTGCGAGGCGTTGAACGAGGTGCCACAGAGAACCACCTCCTTCCACGTTCAAGCGGCAATCTACTTATATCTATCACTCACCGCTGGTGACGGGCGTCTCGAGGGGGGGGGGCTATTCTGTTTTCAGCATTACCAGCAAGATGATGCAATGGTCGCGCGCCACCACATCGTCACAACGCGGTGGCACGCGCTCACATCTCTCACGCGTACTTTGCCCCGCAGAGAGGAGGGGGGGGATGCTCACTCGCGTTTCCTTGTTTCGCTGTGGGGAGGATCATACGTCTTGGCTAGCCTTGGGTTTTCACCTGAACGAATATGTTGTAGTTACTCGCCGCACTAATGTCACTACAATCGTTGCACAGTCTTCGTTTGAAAAATTGGCGTGCTTTTCAGATACAGCGAAGCCACAACTGAGACATATATTCACGCTGTTCTCTGCCAGTGAGTACGTTTCGTGCGTCATTTCTGCGCGAGATACGTGAGGCACATTTTGATCTGCCTCACATTCTGGGCGTGACCTTCCAGTTTGTTGCTATTGAATTCATTGCTTCGCCTTTGCGGCAAAGCTGTGACTATTGTAAGGCACCTCCCGAAGTCAAACTGTAGGCCTAAAATGCTTTTATAAGACCGAAGTTGGACTATGGTAGTGTTGTTAGACCCACATCTAAAAAAATATATTATAAAACTTGAGATTGTGCAGCGTCAGGTGGTTCACTTTATCGTCAATGCTTACCAGAGAAATGACGCACCAAAAAATATGATGATCAATAATAACATCCCTACTTTGCAATAACGAAGGGCAGTTGCCTGGCAGAAATTTTGGCACTCACTTTCTTTTCGTAAGTTTGCGTTCGTCCATAAACTTGCATAGGAAATCGAATTTTAACATAAACTAGGCATGCACATGCTTACGCTCTTGAACGTTCCTCACTTCGCACGTACAAATCTTCATGAATTCGTTCTCTCCTCGGACCATAAGTGGAACGAATTACATTCTGAAGCATTCTGTGATAATGATAATGTGGATGTCAATAACTATGTGTTTTCTCTTCTCATTAATACAACACAAACTATTGACTGTCTCACAGTGCATTTGAATAACATTCTGTAGCTGCGATTTACATTGCCTTGCTGTTATCTTCATTTATTTTTTGTGCTGTGTTCAGCTTCCTTATAATTTATTGCTTCCAATTTCATTGTATTTGAGATAAGCTGTGAAATTTATTATGTCCCCCTGCTTGGTCTGTCAACAGCGGTATACCGTAAATAAATACATATTTGAATAAACAAATGAGAAAACTTTCATATAAGTGATTGGTGCTGCCCTCTGAAGGCACGCATTCGGTGTTCCCCACCATCTTGTCTATAGTATAGTACTAGCACTATCAGTACATTCGCATAGAATGTTCCCAAAGCATTGTACTAGTTCATATCTTTTCTCTGCAAGCTTTCACCTGTGTGAAATGACCGATTTGAAGACCGTCGTTTCTTTCGCGGAAGTACTCGATCCGGTCGGCGGGGCACACTGCGTACTCAGCGAACCACTTTCCGATGTGCGCTTGCCACCAACGCTTGCTGCGATCTTCGCTGAAGGCCTCCCAGGTTGCGCTCTGGCCCACGGCATCAAAGGCTGCTGAAAAGTGCTCGAGGAGTCGAGGGAGAAGGCGTAGAACATTAGGACGCATTTGTGCACGAGACGACGCTATTTCAGGAGAGCCTATAAGCTGTTTATTCAGTTCTTATTTATTTACCTGCGTATTTGTTTATAAACGGTCTACACATTTTCTAGCGTTTTTATTTATTTCATCCGAAGTGTTTCTCTTTTTCAGTTACTTTATAACTTGTTTCTTCTTTTCTTCCTTCCTCCTCCCGAAAGAGTAGACAGGCGTTGTACGTTCCTATGTGTCCTAGGCGTATTTTTCTTTGCCATCGTATATCATCATCATCATCCTCATCGTCGTCATCGTCATCATCGTCATCAGCCTGACTACGTCCACTGCTGGACAAATGCCTCTCCCAGCAAGTACAGGACCAGTCAACTTGGTCCTGTACTTGCTGCTGCCAATTTATACCCGCAAACTTCTTAATCTCGTCTGCCACCTAACCTTCTATCTCCCTCGAACCCAGAGAAATCACTCAGCAACAAATATGACAATGAAACAAATATATGTGGTAATAAAGAACGCTCAGAATATAGCCAACCACTATACAGAGTCTTCATAGATTACGACAAGGCGTTTGATTCAGCAGAGAATATCAGCAGTCATGCAGACCTGCGGAATCAGGGCGTCAACGAAGCATATTAAAAAATCCTGGAAAAAATTGACTGTGGATCACTACTAACATAGTGCTTAAGATAAAGAAAACAACAAATATCAATCATAAGGTGTAAGGCATAGGGTATGAAATTCCCTCAATGCGATTTATCGCGTGCTTACAGGAAGTTTCAGAGGCCTAGATGGGAACAGTTAGCCGATAATGGTTATTGAAGAGTACCTTAGTAACATGCACTTCATCTGATGACGTTGTATTGCTGAGTAACTCAGGGGATAATCACAACTAATGATTACGAAATTAGACAAGGAGAGCAGAAAAGTAGGTCCTGAAATCATTCTGCAGAAAACAAGAGTAATGTACAACAACCTCAGAAGAGAACAGCGCTTCGAGAAAGGTAATAGTGCACTTGAAGTTGTAAAAGACTATTTCTTCTTAGGACAGGTAATAACCGCGGAGCCGAACCATGAGACAGAAGTAACTAGAAAAATAAGAATGGGTGGAGCACATTTGGCAAGCGCTCTTTAATCATGACAGATAGATTGCCACTATCCCTCAAGAGAAAGGTATAAACAGCTGCATCTTGCCGGTACTCAGCTACAGAGCAGAAAACTGGAGACTTACAAAGAGGGTTCAGCTTGAATTGAGGACGACGCAGCGAGCAATAGAAAGAAAAATGGTAGGTGTAACCTTAAGAGAGTAGAAGAGAGCAGAGTGGAATAAAGAACAAACCGGGATTAAGGATATCATAGTTGAAATAAACAAGAGGAAAAAGACATGGGCTGGGCATGTAACACGTAGACAGGACAACCACTAGTCATAAAGGGTAACTGACCGGGTTCCTAGAGATGGTAGGCGGGTTTCTTTGCATAAATGGTAATAATAATATTGACAGTGTATTCGAAATTGTGTCCAAAATATACTGCCGATAATAATATTGGCAATGTATTCACAATTGTGTCCCGAATGCGGTCATATATACACTTACCTGTTTTTCTCGCGTTGGCCTCATCATGTTTTTGCGCCCACTCAGAGCTGCACTGATTGGCGTGTGCCTGTGCCACAGCGGCAAGTTCAGCATTCCAATACTGCAGGGTTAAGAGAATTGTTGCAACATCAAAAACAAAAACAAAAGTGAATGGGCACTTATGTGTCCAGAAGGCAGGCAGGCAGGCAGGCAGGCAGGCAGGCAGGCAGGCAGGCAGGCAGGCAGGCAAAGAACATTAGACAGTTATAGTATACCGGGCTTACCGGAATACCAGGCGTACAGTGATACCGGAACCGAAGTGCGCATGCGCAGATACGTACGTTACCCATGCCGCGTACCGTACGCGCGGTATTATTCAGATTTAAGGTTACCGTGGTAGCGTAAGTGTACGTAGTGTCCGTAAACATGGCGGCACTCTCGGACGCCCACTTGGAAGTGATTTTGGCGTAGTTGTGGAAATATTCACCTTGTTCGCAGGAAACGACCGTTTAAAATGGCTTCGCTCGCCTTCAGTTAGCTTCGACGACCGAGTAATTACGGACAAGTTGGCGCAATTTTTGAGATAGCTTCCCAAGTCAAACGCGTCTGGGCCTAACTACAAGATCAATGTAAACAAATCGGCAACATATTTTTTTTGCGTTTGGTGCGTGGTTCATATTTATTTCCTTTTATTATTAGTAAAAGAAACTTGTAACTATGCTTCACGTGGTGGCATTGGCAAACATTCTCGTTTTCTTTACCTTTTCATTGTCTTTAACTTATTGACCATTTGCTAGATGGCGCCACCATCACAGCTGGGGCACGTAAACCATGTAAACGCGATTCCACTAAACTATAAGACGCTGTCCACAACGAAAGTTTACTGCACGGTAACGCCATTCTATTAACCTCTATCATGTTAACCGTAAACTATAACTGTTTGTTATATTCATCCGGCAAGCAACGCAGTGGTCAACCATATTCAATCGTCAAGTGCGAAATGGCATAGGAATATAAGAAAAATCCAAGCATCGACGCAATTAGCTGCAAAATTGACCAAATGTGCTTTCAGTAGCGCTAAATAACAGAAATGGACCAGTCCGCAATCTTCTTTCCGTATATTATGACGTTAAAACGACGTCGCGGTCTAGTAGCTTGAGTTCCCGCGCATTTCAGGTATTCTTGCATTAGTCTGTGCTAACCACGTCAGTTTTTGTGTCTTTAGATACCTTCCGCTATAGTTAAATAATTGTTAAAGCATTGAGTGAACATTTCATTTTCCTTATTTCTGAAGTTTATTCAAACAAATATCTTGAAACATCATTTGAAGGTTATGCACAGCATGCGCGATTTTATGTCGAATGTGAATTTAACATGTATGTTCACTTAATATTTGTGCACGTTAAGATGAATTGTTATGACTCCCCTCTCCATTATATAATGTTCTGATTAAGACTTCAGAATAAATGAACAATAAAAAAACTGAGAAGCCCTAATAAAAACATAGTGGCCAGAAAAAGAGCAAAGGAAATTTGTCATTTCAATATCCCTAAAATAGCAAAACGCGGCTATGGAAATCATGGGATCACTTGTCGTATATCGCAGTTGTGAGCGCTCTTGAGGCAACCGCGCTTACTCCACCGTCACTCCTGAATTCCATAAGGTAATTGTGAAAAACTGAAAATATTTGCCATTACCATTAGCGCGACATACCTATAGAAGAAGAACAAGTGAAGATGACATGGAATGGAAGTTAAAAAGAAGAAAAAGATTGAAAGTGCTGCGATGCAGAAATGGTGTTGCAGAAATACAGAGAAAGAGTTAAATGTACAACAACCTCAGAAGAGAACAGCGCTTCGAGAAAGGTAATAGTGCACTTGAAGTTGTAAAAGACTATTTCTTCTTAGGACAGGTAATAACCGCGGAGCCGAACCATGAGACAGAAGTAACTAGAAAAATAAGAATGGGTGGAGCACATTTGGCAAGCGCTCTTTAATCATGACAGATAGATTGCCACTATCCCTCAAGAGAAAGGTATAAACAGCTGCATCTTGCCGGTACTCAGCTACAGAGCAGAAAACTGGAGACTTACAAAGAGGGTTCAGCTTGAATTGAGGACGACGCAGCGAGCAATAGAAAGAAAAATGGTAGGTGTAACCTTAAGAGAGTAGAAGAGAGCAGAGTGGAATAAAGAACAAACCGGGATTAAGGATATCATAGTTGAAATAAACAAGAGGAAAAAGACATGGGCTGGGCATGTAACACGTAGACAGGACAACCACTAGTCATAAAGGGTAACTGACCGGGTTCCTAGAGATGGTAGGCGGGTTTCTTTGCATAAATGGTAATAATAATATTGACAGTGTATTCGAAATTGTGTCCAAAATATACTGCCGATAATAATATTGGCAATGTATTCACAATTGTGTCCCGAATGCGGTCATATATACACTTACCTGTTTTTCTCGCGTTGGCCTCATCATGTTTTTGCGCCCACTCAGAGCTGCACTGATTGGCGTGTGCCTGTGCCACAGCGGCAAGTTCAGCATTCCAATACTGCAGGGTTAAGAGAATTGTTGCAACATCAAAAAACAAAAACAAAAGTGAATGGGCACTTATGTGTCCAGAAGGCAGGCAGGCAGGCAGGCAGGCAGGCAGGCAGGCAGGCAGGCAGGCAGGCAGGCAAAGAACATTAGACAGTTATAGTATACCGGGCTTACCGGAATACCAGGCGTACAGTGATACCGGAACCGAAGTGCGCATGCGCAGATACGTACGTTACCCATGCCGCGTACCGTACGCGCGGTATTATTCAGATTTAAGGTTACCGTGGTAGCGTAAGTGTACGTAGTGTCCGTAAACATGGCGGCACTCTCGGACGCCCACTTGGAAGTGATTTTGGCGTAGTTGTGGAAATATTCACCTTGTTCGCAGGAAACGACCGTTTAAAATGGCTTCGCTCGCCTTCAGTTAGCTTCGACGACCGAGTAATTACGGACAAGTTGGCGCAATTTTTGAGATAGCTTCCCAAGTCAAACGCGTCTGGGCCTAACTACAAGATCAATGTAAACAAATCGGCAACATATTTTTTTTGCGTTTGGTGCGTGGTTCATATTTATTTCCTTTTATTATTAGTAAAAGAAACTTGTAACTATGCTTCACGTGGTGGCATTGGCAAACATTCTCGTTTTCTTTACCTTTTCATTGTCTTTAACTTATTGACCATTTGCTAGATGGCGCCACCATCACAGCTGGGGCACGTAAACCATGTAAACGCGATTCCACTAAACTATAAGACGCTGTCCACAACGAAAGTTTACTGCACGGTAACGCCATTCTATTAACCTCTATCATGTTAACCGTAAACTATAACTGTTTGTTATATTCATCCGGCAAGCAACGCAGTGGTCAACCATATTCAATCGTCAAGTGCGAAATGGCATAGGAATATAAGAAAAATCCAAGCATCGACGCAATTAGCTGCAAAATTGACCAAATGTGCTTTCAGTAGCGCTAAATAACAGAAATGGACCAGTCCGCAATCTTCTTTCCGTATATTATGACGTTAAAACGACGTCGCGGTCTAGTAGCTTGAGTTCCCGCGCATTTCAGGTATTCTTGCATTAGTCTGTGCTAACCACGTCAGTTTTTGTGTCTTTAGATACCTTCCGCTATAGTTAAATAATTGTTAAAGCATTGAGTGAACATTTCATTTTCCTTATTTCTGAAGTTTATTCAAACAAATATCTTGAAACATCATTTGAAGGTTATGCACAGCATGCGCGATTTTATGTCGAATGTGAATTTAACATGTATGTTCACTTAATATTTGTGCACGTTAAGATGAATTGTTATGACTCCCCTCTCCATTATATAATGTTCTGATTAAGACTTCAGAATAAATGAACAATAAAAAAACTGAGAAGCCCTAATAAAAACATAGTGGCCAGAAAAAGAGCAAAGGAAATTTGTCATTTCAATATCCCTAAAATAGCAAAACGCGGCTATGGAAATCATGGGATCACTTGTCGTATATCGCAGTTGTGAGCGCTCTTGAGGCAACCGCGCTTACTCCACCGTCACTCCTGAATTCCATAAGGTAATTGTGAAAAACTGAAAAATATTTGCCATTACCATTAGCGCGACATACCTATAGAAGAAGAACAAGTGAAGATGACATGGAATGGAAGTTAAAAAGAAGAAAAAGATTGAAAGTGCTGCGATGCAGAAATGGTGTTGCAGAAATACAGAGAAAGAGTTAAATGCACAAAACTACCTTATATCACATTGCCACAATATTGGTTAGATGACGAGTTTCAGCGGCTTGCTTGTCTTTGCTGGAAACAGCATTACCGTCAACTAACAGACAGTCAAGTCAAGGAAAATAAAGGCCTCCCTGCCTGCGCCCACCTAATTTGCTTCATCCGGCCACCTTAATTGCTTCTTAATAATGCCGAAATTACTACTCGTGACATCCAGTATACGTTACTTGGTCTAATCGTCATTTATCATAAAGTTTGTGTCTAACAACGCTTTTTTATCACTTCTATATTCAAGTACTGGACCGGTCAGTTCTCTTACCAGCCTCCGCATATTAGCCGCTGGCGGGAATCCGGGAAGAAGACCTAGAGCCACCTGGCTGCGAAACCTGAGGGAACACAGGGGAGGCGTTTTCATATTGTACACATGAAGTTACGAAGTGTCAGTCTTGCTAATGATCCTTTTTTGTATATGCGAAGCAACTTTCACCGGCATTCTATCTGGCGGCGTGCGGCGTGCCCACCCTTACTGGGCATGCGCAACAGCTGGTCAAGCACTGCCAAAACGTGCTCACGCGCTAGCACGCTCCAGCTCGTGTAAGGGCTGGGTAAAACGCTGTGGCTTCTCCCCCCCCCCCCCCCGCCATACACTCTCTGGGCAATCACGTAATGGCGTCGGGGAATGAGATTCTGCAGACGCGTGATGAACCAACGAGTTGTATCCTAGTCAAAACACGCTGGCGCGCGCTAGCGCTTTCGACCCGGTTTAGATGGCTGTGAACGAGTATGTGGCCTCTCTTTCTTACACTCTCTCAGCAATCCCGTATTAGCGTCGTGGCACGAGATTCTACAGACGCGCGATGAACCCACGCGCCCCACGCCGCGTGGCGAAGAACTCCCATGGCAAGCTGGAAAAAGAGATCAGCACGAGTAGCAGCAATATAAACTACAGTAAATTCATGGTGTGCTCCAACCTTTAAGGACACGTTAACATCGGTCAAGATGGTCGCGATGAAGGGAGCTTTAATTCGACCCATGCTTTGGTTCACATACTGCTCATGGTCGCCTTTAGTGGGAGATGGTGTAAGTTTTGTATCATCTGCTGCTGTACGCCACTTACGGTAATGAATTGAACATGGCAGTATTAGAACTATACGTGGGTAAGCCTCACGACAGCTTCTCGAGTCTAGTTAGACAAAAAGAGCACTCATATTATTGCAATCTGCACAGAGCAGGTGAATCAGATAATGGCGCTGAATTCCTGAAGAAGTTCGTGGAAAACCTTTTTTTTACGAAGCACGCCAGTTTACAAGCTTCTTTTCTCTCTCATTGTGCTTTTGCCACTCAAAATTCCAGTGAAGGTGAGCGAATACCACAAATGATGTAATCTCCCCCCCTCCCTAAATTTACCGTGGGAATGTCACGCCTCATTGTCAACCCTCCGCATGCGCACAGTGACCAAGGAACGTATTGTTCGGGGAATATACTTTCACTGAAACTTGGAGTGCAAAATGTACAACGAGCGAAAGGATTGGTTTTTAAACGAGAGAGCTTGGTTGAAAAGAGGCCTTGCAGGAAAGCGGTCTGGCAGATTGTTTTGTAAGTAAAGCATTGCCTGCATCAGAAGGAGAAATAAACTTTGTGTTCAAGAAACAGGAGGGGGAATGAGATAGCCCGGTTCACACGAAGCAATGCATATGTTGTAGCGTCCTCTTGTTGCTGCGCGCGAAAACTAAGCTAGTGTAGTGCTTCGACAAACTAATAGCAGGTGGCGCTGAAAGTCACTAGTCGAGAATTGGGCTTTTTTGTTGTTTTCAGAGTTACCGGACAAGTTGCCTAGATTGAAAGGAAGATTACATGTGAAACTGGTAAATATATGGCATCATGATACAAGGCAGAAAATTTTCGCCTGCCAATGTTACTTGACGGCGAAATTCTTTCTAGAACTCCGAATACGTTCGTAAAAAAAAAGTAGCGGTTGATGTGACCCCCTTTTAGGTTGCGACGCTTCGTACATAATACCCAGACGAAGTAATAGGGTTTCCAAGATCGCTAAGTTGCATACGGCGTGGGGCTTCTGCTTTTGATATTGCATTTGTGAAGCCGCCCACAAACCTATTCACCGTCTTGCTCGGTGGCTGCCTGACCTAATAAATAAATAAATAAATAAATAAATAATAAATAAATAAATAAATAAATAATAAATAAATAAATAAATAAATAAATAAATAAATAAATAAATTGCTAGCTGGCACTTTTTCTCGCTTACTCGTTAACTCACTCAATCACTTAATCAATCAATATATAAAACAAACATGTGCAGAAAAACTTACACGCATAAATAGATTTATGGCGCTCGTGACAACTATGACCGGAGAGCTTGCATCTTATCTGAAGGGGATACTTTTCACAATAAGTGCGGACGTTCTCACCTGTTGTGCATGCGGAGAATGAGTCGGATCTCCTTTGCGCTAACTCCGCTGTCACGAATACGGCAGCTTGGATTGGGAGGTTTGCAGGCCGTGTGCAGTGTGTCGCCAGCTCCCAGCTGGTATTCTACACGACACATGGACGCCAATGACAAATGAACAAACAGACCGAACTGTCGTGAAGCCACTGCCGGCATTGTCATTAAGTACACTCCAGCGGCGCAGTGGTAGAGTAGCCATTTCGGTATCACATTCATTGTTGACAGAGCTGGGCAAAAAGTGAGAGAAAAGGGAACAAATGAGTTTATAGACAAATAATGATTGCAAATAGGGAACACAAATAATGATTGAAATAGGGAAATAATGGTTGCAAATTGATAAAAACGGTAACCGCTCGTTAGTAAACAATTACCGGCCCGTATCCTTGACGTCGGTTTGCTGTAACGTTCTCGAACATGTATTAGCAAAACATATTCTTAGTTTTCTTGATTCTAACCAGTTACTTTGCGCAAGTCAACATGGGTTTCGGCATGGTCTTTCTACTGTGACACAATTAGCTGAAACCCTCCATGATTTCAATTAAAATAGCGATGCCCTTCTGCAGACTGATGTAATTTGTGTCGATTTTAGGAAAGCCTTTGATAAGGTCTCTCATCGTAAATTACTTTTCAAGCTTGAAAGATGAGGAATAAGTGAAGAAGTATTAAAATGGATAGAGTCCTATTTATTCGCACGTCAACAGGTTGTAAAAATTGAAAATTACACTTCAAGACCACTGGCCGTGTACTCGGGCGTTCCCCAAGGATCTGTTTTAGGAACAATTCTTTTTCTGATATTTGTTAATGATCTACGTTCTTCAGTAGAGGCTCCCATTAAAATGAAACTTTTTGGAGATGACTGCTTGATTTATTCCCCAGATACTTGCGAAGGTGACCAAATTGTTCAGAACAGGTGCTTAGAGGCATTAGATCAGTGGGTATAATATGGGACATGGAAATAAACTATAGCAAGACGACATTTACGCATATTCACTCTAGTGGGCCGGAATTGCCATTTATGTATCACATCGGAAGTCACCCTTTAAATAATGCCGATCGTTTCAAATACCTAGGAGTTAGTATTATGCACACATTGAAATGGCACTCGCATATCGATAACATCTGTTCTAAGGCAAACAAAAAACTGTATTTCCTAAAGAAAAAAAAACTGGAACATGCCACACCAGATGTAAAACTAACTGCTTACAAAACATTCATACGTCCTGTCTTAGAGTACGCTAGTATTGTATGGTCGCCTCACCAGAAGATGTTGTGGACAAAAATTGAAAGAATACAAAAATTAGCAGTCCGTTTCATATGTGGTAGATACCGACGCACACACTCAGTCACTGCTTTGTTAATGTCCTGTGAGCTTGAGTCTTTGGAATATCGCAGGCGAAAACATCGCCTCAAATTTCTTTTTAAGATTATAAGCGGGCAAACAAAGATAAATAAGGATTTATATATTCAGCCCCCTGGAAGGCGGTGTGATCGTCTTAATAATAGTAGAGAAATTCAACTTTATTTTACACGCACGAATGCTTTCCCCCACTCCTTTTTCCCAGACACAATATATATGTGGAATAGCTTACCCAATGCGGTTGTGCAACAAGCAACATCAGTGGATTTCGAAAATGCATTGGACGGTTTCCTTTGTAGCGATGCGTGCTAAATTCTGTTGTCAGCATTGATTCGTTGATTTTTATGTGTGTAGTAACTGTTGTATGTTTCTTATTTTTTATTGTTGGTTATTCATCTCGTATTTATATGTGCTTTTGAATTTTTCTCTTTTTGTGTGAACGTTAGGTACTTTGTGACACCCTCCCTGTAATGACCCCAAGCACGGGGTTGACAGTATCAAATAAATAAAAAATAAAAAAAAATAGCAGACTTACGATCACTCCGACCCCTGACGATGTTTCCTGTTGAAGAAACTGCGTATTATTTAGGCTGCAATTAATGAATTCAAAGTATGAGACTGATGGTCAATCGGTGCAGTGGTGCTACTGATAATCGGTGTGCAGTGGGCATCATTGATTTCAATAAAACGGGGCCTGCTCTCTACGCATTCAAGAATCATGGGTGCTCTTATACAACAAAAATAATAAGCGAGTCTGCTCCTTTGACAAAATAGCAAAATGAATAAACAGAACAACCATTACTGTCTTGTCCGATGTTACTTAATTTGACCAGTGTAAACTAGCTAGCTGAGCAATGCGTTCTACATTTAGGCACTATATAGCTATAGGCATGTGTAAGGTTCCCCAGCCTGCCACTTGGGGGCGAATGTTAATCGCAGCACCCCCTCCGCTTACTACTGAGTCGTTGCATGGGGCAGCTTTTGTGCCTCCCAATTTCAGATGACTAAAGGTGAACGCTCCCCCTGCCCACCCCCGCCAAACCCACTCATAAGAATGTAGTACACCTTGCCAAAAACACATGAAGATTACAACTAAAAGTATTGTTAAGGGCCAACTCCAGCAATTTTTCAGGGTCAACCGATCTCAATAAAATTCGCTGAGTACGTTCATTTGGCCATTTTGTCACATAGTTATGCCAAATTACAGGCTTGAGAGATGCGCTGATTGTTTCCGAATGAATTTTAAAGATTGCCTCGAAATGCCGCCTGGCTTGCGAGCATTATTCGCAACACTGCCTAGATGACTTCACGTGTGGCAAGCCAACGGAAGTGATGCAGTCGATGGCATCACTAACTTTGGCTGCTACAGTGTTGACTGTGCTTCTGTTGACTGTGCTACAGGGTTGACGGTGGTCTAGTAACTAAGGTACTGGGCTGCTGACACGCAGGTCGTGGGAGTGAATCCCGGCTGCGGCTGCTGCATTTTCGGTGGAGGCGAAAATACTGTAGGCCTGTGTCCTCAGATTTGGGTGCAAGTTTAAGAACTCCAGGTGGTAGAAATCTCTGGAGCCCTCCGCTACGGCGTCTTTCAAAATCATATCGTGGTTTTGGGACGTTACACCCTACAGATCAATCAATCACTCGATCGATCGATCACTCATCAAAGGAAAAAGAGCGCTGTTGTGTGTGAGTTTTGGCACTGTAAGGTAATGAGTGTGTAACTAATTATCTAATTATTCTGCCACCCGTCGGCTTCAGTACTTGCATAACAAGAATCCGCTACTAGGTCCGAAATACATGCACAGTTTGTGCTTTGCTTGTATTTGTTTCAAGCAAAGAAAAAATACTCTGAACGTTGGCCTTGGAATGCAGCACGTTGAATAATCTTAGAACATGGTAGTGCATCCAGCAAAGTGATAAACTGCAGAAATACGCAGCATACTAAAGTTAAATGATTGCTAGCTGCCCACATATAGGCTTGTACAAGTGTGAACACTAAGTGGTCGTCTCCATTTGTACACACCGAAGATGAAAGGGGCAGGCTGCCTGGGCTGCTACTTTCTTCTTCACCGCATTGCACAACGCTTGCTCATAAGTTTTTCCTTCCTCTGTGGCGGGATTCAAACCTTCAGCCTCGTATTTGGCACTGCAGCACTTCAGTTAATGCAGGACAAAGTGTGGTCGGGCTTTCCCATCTTGGCAAAAGTGACATGTGAGAACGACAAAGAGCAGATTGCATTATCATAAAGGACTGATTGTCGACAAGCGCACCATATGGAGAACAAGAATTAGTGGATGATGGTCCTTGAAAAACACGGACTGCTGGGTGAGGTGGCAATTCATCTTAACTGAGGTGCAAGAGAGAGACAGATATGGTATGAAGAAAGGCAAGAAGGTTAACCTGCAAGCAAGTGTCTGGTTTGCTACCCTGCACTAGAGAAGGGGAAATCGGAGACAGAAAAGTAAGGAAGAGTGAATGAGAGAAAGAGAGCTGGACGCAAGCTGGAAGCAGTCATGAGGCAAGCGAGCGCAAAGCTCAAAACGACAGCTGATAGACGAAACCTCGTGATAATTTCAGGCGGTTTAAACGATGTCCTCAATGAAGATGCAGCAGGACTAGCAGCCACACTGGCGAAAGGCGTCGATGACATGCGCGCCACTTCTCCTAAGGTACAGGTAGTGATATGCACGATACCGGAGGTACCGGTGCGTGATAGCAACCTGCAAAGAGCGGTGGTCAACGCAAACCAAGAGATATGGCGGATGAGTCGAGAGAAAGGCTTTGAGGTGGTGGAAATAAACAGAGAGGTGCATAGGTGGGGGGGGGGGGGGGTTCAACGAGACAGAATTCACTTCGATGGGCGGCTAGGTCATGAGGTGGGTTGGCGACTTGCAGGACGCGCAGTAGCTTTTTTTGGGGGGGGGGCAAGCGAGCCCTTCGGGGTGCAGGATAGCTAGTAACGAGGAAAACAACCAGGGAGACTCTTCGACAGGTGGTATGGACAGATACGATTCCAAAGTGGCATCAATATCTAAGATAGGTAGAGTCCGGGGCATAAATAGACGTAGCCACAAGTGCCGGGACAATACAGACATAGGGTATATTAACATGCAGGGTGGTTGAAACAGGCTGAAGTGGGAAGAGATAGAAGAACAGCTAAAGGAAGAGAGGCCGATGGTATACGGTTTTGTAGAAACACATCTCAGGGACATGGAACAACCTACGAACAATCCGGACTACGCGTGGGAATATTGTAATAGAACAGAAGGCAGCAGAAAGGGGGGTGGTATCGGGGCATTCATTCATAAAAGTACAGACTGGCAAAGGGTCAAGCAGGAGTGCAAGGAACATTTATGGCTAAAAGGGAAAGTGGCAGGTCAAATGACACTCCTTGGTTTCGTGTACTTGTGGACGGGAGCAAAGGCCAGAGAGGAAAACCAGGCAATGGTAGAGTGTATATCAAAGGACATTCAGGAGTTAGGAAGAGAGTGCGAGATAATTATACTAGGAGACATGAATGCGCACATAGAAGATATAGATGGGTATACCGACCCGACAGGCAAAATGATCATGGATATGTGTGAAAGGCTTGATTTGATCATTTGCAACAGTACCGAGAAGTGTGAAGGGCAAATAACATGGGAGGTATGAAGGCTTCAGTCGACGATAGATTATGCAATGATGTCACATAGGATGTATGATAAGCTCAGGGGAATGCACATAGATGAAGGTGGCTCCAGA